GGCGGTGGTCGCGTGGCTAATCCACGAAAACGAAAATTGCGAAGCCGGAACGTTTGGCTAGGACTGGCGGGAAATGATTTCGCTATTCACGCCACGGAGCGGTGGCAACGAGTCGACCAGGAGCGAGTCGGATTCGAAGACGAAGCTGCGGATAGACAGGGGAGTGTTGCAATCGACAGTGACTCAGTGATTCGACTGTCCAGTGTAGCGGAGAACCTGGGTGGCCTTTTCCCTTTCCCAGACTTGGAGAACTCGGTGGGTAATGGATCCCTCAGGCCCTCTACTAGCCCGGTTCTGCCAAGCTGACCGAAATCACACGGCGTAAGTAGCCTGCAGGGTGTCTTGAGAGTCAAAAGGCAGTTTGGCGACGGAGTCGACTAATGAACGCCGGACGGCTTGAGGATCTTGCCGGGGAGGATTGAATAGTCGTAAGAGGGGGGATGCGCACTTGACCTGCACTAGCCTCTTTTGAAAACTTCTCTTGGCGCCTTTCTAATTCACGGTCCGCCTTCCGAATAGCAGGCCCGATCTGTCGCTTTGCCTTCCTTTCTTTTTCTTCTCCCTTCTCCATCCACTTTTGCATTCCATCCTCGAATGCTTCCACGGCACGTCACTCGCTTTATCTATCTGATATCGTGCTCGGTGTGGCCAATTGGTTGCGTATCCTAGTCTTTTGCGCTTAACCCCGGTCCGCTCGGGACCGCCATTTCCGACCACCTTTGGTACCCTAATCCCCGGCAGCGGACTCGCTAAAGTACGTCACGCCGTGAGAGTCAAGCCGGTGACCGTCAGTCTTTTGCTGTTTCTAGGCTTGGCTACCATCTTCATAGTAACGCTATGTTGCGTTCATCGTTAAGGGCAGGCCGGAGGTCGGCTCCGGCCTTGCAGAAACCCGGACGTTTACTGAGATCGGATAGCGCTCTACTCCGCTGGAGCCACATAAGAAGATCTGCTTCGACTGTCACAAGCCTTGAGAACTTCCCGGAGATCGGTGAGGGGATCCATGGGTTTACTGTTCAGGAGAAGAAGCACGTTCCAGAGCTGCACCTTACAGCAATCCGCTTGAAGCACGACAAAACCGATGCCGACTACATCCACGTGGCTAGAGAAGACAAGAACAATGTCTTCGGTATCGGGTTCAAGACGAATCCTCCAGATGCTACTGGCGTGCCGCATATCTTGGAGCATACTACACTTTGCGGAAGTGAAAAGTGAGTGTCCCTTGACATAAGTAGAATGCGTGACATACTGGGCCCGAGGACTAACCAGGAACTTTCTACCTAGATATCCCATTCGCGACCCCTTTTTCAAGATGCTACCTCGATCTCTTTCAAACTTCATGAACGCCTTCACCTCCGCTGACCATACTACCTACCCTTTCGCCACGACAAACCCGCAAGACTTCCAGAATCTCCTCTCGGTCTATCTTGACGCCACTTTCCATCCGTTGTTGAAGGAAGAAGATTTTAGACAGGAAGGATGGCGGCTAGGTCCGGAAGATCCTCGCGCTATATTGGCCCGCGGAGAACAATCACAGGCGGAGCAGAAGCCAGAGGATATCCTCTTCAAAGGTGTCGTCTACAACGAGATGAAGGGCCAAATTTCGGACGCCAATTACCTCTACTACATCAAATACAAGGAGAACATCATTCCCGCGCTCAACAATTCTGGAGGAGACCCTCAGTACATCACCGATCTGACCCACGAACAATTGGTCGAATTTTCGAAGCGCAACTATCACCCCAGCAATGCCAAGATTTTCACCTACGGTGATATGCCACTGAGCGCTCATCTCCAACAAATCGGGGGCGTGCTGGATGGCTTTCAAAAGGGAGAGGCTGACACCGCTGTTAAGCTACCGATCGATCTTTCTCAGGGTCCTCAGACCGTGACTGTTTCGGGGCCGATCGACACATTCGCCAGCGAAGACAAACAGCACAAAACGTCGACTTCATGGTATATGGGGGATGCTGCTGACGTTGTCGAGACGTTTTCGGCCGGTATTCTTTCCTCGCTGCTCCTTGACGGTTATGGATCGCCTTTGTATCGAGCTTTGATCGAAAGTGGCTTGGGGTCTTCATTCACGCCTAACACGGGCCTCGACGCTTCAGGTCGTGTGCCCGTGTTCTCAGCTGGTGTTACCGGTGTGAGTGCAGAAGAAGCACCTAAAGTCAAAGGTGCCATTCAACAGGTCTTCCAGGAGTGTCTCGCCACGGGCTTCAGTGACGAGAAGGTTCGCGGTTTCCTTCACCAATTGGAACTAGCTCTAAGACACAAGACTGCCAACTTTGGTATCGGTGTCATGGAGAAAACCATCTCCTCATGGTTCAATGGCTCCAATCCCATGAAGGAACTCGCCTGGAACGAGGTCATTGATGAGTTCAAGAGCAGATATGAGAAGGGGGGCTACCTGGAGTCCCTAATGCAGAAGTATCTCATGAATGACAATTGTCTGACCTTCACCATGGTCGGCAGTCCTACTTGGAACCAAGAGCTGGACGAACAAGAAATGGTTCGGAAGGAGGAAAAGTTCAACCAGCTCATTGAGCAGCATGGCTCCCTGGAGAAGGTGGTCGCTAAGCTGACAGAGGAAGAGCTTCAACTGTTGAAGACACAGGAGGAGGCACAGAACGCAGATTTGTCATGCCTTCCTTCCCTTCGTGTTGCTGATATTTCTCGGGAGAAAGAGCGCAAGCCTGTTCGCGAGTCGAAGGTTGACGGCGTAGACGTCGTCTGGCGCGAGGCTCCTACCAACGGTTTAACCTACTTCCAAGCGTTGAACGCGTTTGAAGATTTGCCAGATGATCTCCGTCTCTTGATGCCGCTGTTCAATGACTGCATAATGCGTCTCGGCACAGCCAGCAAGTCAATGGAGCAGTGGGAGGATATCATCAAGTTGAAGACGGGTGGAATCTCCACATCATCCTTCCATATATCATCCCCGACGCAGCTTGGAAAGTTCGCCGAGGGTCTTCAATTCTCTGGTTTCGCCTTGGACAAGAACATCCCGGAGATGCTGGAGATCATGACTACACTTGTCACTGAGACCGACTTCACTAGTCCCAGTGCGCCAGCTATGATCCAGGAACTGCTTCGACTGACGACCAACGGCGCCTTGGATGCAGTAGCTGGTTCAGGTCATCGTTATGCCCTCAATGCCGCTGCAGCAGGTCTTACACGTAGCTTCTGGGTTCAAGAACAACAATCCGGCCTTGCCCAGTTGCAAGCTACAGCTAATCTGCTGCGAGATGCAGAGACCTCGCCAGAACGCCTTGCGGAATTGATTGAGAAGCTTCGCCAAATTCAGTCGTTTGCTATTTCTAAATCCTCTGGTCTCCGTGTTCGGATGGTCTGTGAGCAGAGCAGCGCCAAGCAAAATGAGTCGGTGCTACAGAAGTGGCTTACGGGCTTACCACAAGTCCGCTCACCGACATCTACACCCAGCATTTCAGCTCTCGGCTTGGGTGCCCACAAGGCTTTCTATGACATGCCTTATAAGGTCTATTACTCAGGCTTGGCTATGCAGACCGTCCCTTTCACCAGCTCATCCAGTGCATCGCTTAGCGTCCTCTCTCAGCTTCTAACGCATAACTACCTCCACCCAGAGATTCGTGAGAAAGGCGGCGCCTATGGCGCGAGTGCAATGAATGGTCCGGTGAAGGGAATGTTCGCTTTCACTAGTTATCGGGATCCCAATCCTGTTAACACCCTGAAGGTCTTCCAGAACAGTGGTGTCTTCGCCAGGGACCGAGCTTGGTCGGAGCGGGAGCTCAACGAGGCGAAACTGGGCATCTTCCAGGGTCTCGATGCTCCAATGAGCGTTGATGAAGAGGGTGCGAGATATTTCATGAGCGGCGTGACCCATGAGATGGATCAGCGCTGGAGAGAGCAGGTCCTTGATGTCACGGCTAAGGATGTTAATGAAGCAGCTGAGTCCTTCTTGGTCCAGGGCTCGCAGCGGTCCGTGTGCCTTCTCGGCGAAAAGAAGGATTGGATTCAATCGGACGGCTGGGATATGAGGAAGCTCTCCATGGGAGTCTCCGGTGAAAATGGCCAGGCTGCTATGGACGCGCAGGATGCCGCGGCATCCGCCTAGACGCGCTTCCAGACGTTCCACATTAGGAACGCGATTGATACCTACGTTGTTGCTTTTCACTGACTTGGGAACCTTAGTAAAATCGTCGGTGTTGCTTCGACAGACATGTGTACCATATAACCATGTATTATTATCACGATTCTCTCACGCACGACAAGAGCCTGTATATAGATTTTTACATGTACAATACCCCTTCACTCTTCACTCATTCTGGTTGTTGGAAATTTCTAGACACTGTGGCCTATCCAAATCACGCGCTCTCAAGAACAGACGAGCTCTATCTCCAGTCTATGCACTATGACCGGTAGATGGCCAGTCCTCCTATCCAAGGAGCAAGCGCAAGATCAACAGGAATGTGAACCCGCAGCAGGCGAAGGTCTACTACCATGGTACACTTCTATATTCCCGTTTTCAGACCCGCCCTGATCCTTTTCAGCCTACGCAGGGCGGACTAAAAACGAGGAAACAAGAGTCGGGCAGTGGTTGATTCAATTAGAACATGCAATTACAGTATTCCCTCGTTTTAAATGCAATGGGGTGAAATTTCAGGTCAGAAATGTACTCTGTACTTTTTTTCCCCCCTTGATGGGAAGGGCCATTGTGTCAATAATCCCATGAGAGTAATACGTAGTAGGAATGGACCGGCCTCGGATCAGCTAGATGAGACCAGATCTCGCTGTTATCTCCATTTTTCTAATAAGCTCAATCGCTTCTTATCAGAGGCTAAAATAGTCAAAGGAATGGCTCCGACTCACGTGGCACCCGGCAAATTATGCTTTCGACTATAGTACTTCCTTCTAAGGCCCTTTGACAAGGTATGCTCATTGGTATTGGAGGTAGAGACCTCAAACGGTTAGGTTTCACCAGGCCCTGCTAGACGTTCAGTAATGCCACACTCATCATCATGAGGGGAACAAAAGCGATCACTCTCGGTCCAAAACCGACCAAGGCATGCGGTAAGTGGCATCGGTTCTTGAAGGCTTGAGCGAAGCAGAGCTGATCGTCCCATGTAGTCAACTGCCGCAGATTAAAGGTCAGAAACGGTAACTAGGTCTTGTGTGATCTGACTGGACATGCTGATAGCCGCTAAGATGAAATGTGTCGTGGACGGGACTCCTCCATGCCGCCGATGCCGACACACGAAGGCTATTTGTGTCTTCAGACCAAGATCTAATGTTAGTGATTCGGTTGACTAGATTATCCATAGATGATGCTTAATGGTTCTAGGCAGCATTAGCAGTTCATGACGTGGTGAGACTGCAACAAGATACGCCAGAAAGGAACCAAGACATCGATGCGATTCTTGGCCGTCTGAATAGGATTGAGAGTGCCTTGGGCTTTAATAGAGAAAGCAGCTCCGTGACAGCAGACAGTCCTGACCCAGATCAGGATGAAAGGTCTGAGAACATATCTCTGCGCGCCCTCTGGAAGGCCATCAAGCATCTCAAACAGATTACACGGCCTGCCCAGGATGAAGCTCTCTGGTCACGGCCAGTAATCAAGCATCTGTGGTATTCGTATGCAACCTCGTCTGTCATGAACAGTTTCTCTTATTGAGTGGACTAATGCCAGCGAAGGTTTCTCAATAACCTACCCCTCCTCCATTTCTTGAAGGATCAGAGTGCTTTCGCATCACCGTCTCCCCTTTTACTTGCATCAGTTCTATTCATATCCGCTCTTCATGGCCCGTCCAACGATCTATCGGAGTTTACGAAAGGATACTTTGTCGCCCAGTGTTGCGCAATCGCCGAGCTTGTCAACCCAGTGCCATACACTCCTCCATGGGAGATATTTAGTAACAGCACAGAAGACCCTGATCGATCCTTAGGTACTACGGATGATTCGCTGACTTTTCAGAACATCCTCGGTCTAATTATGGCCAGCTTGGGCTCAGAAGCTTATGTGCCAACCACTGGTACATGGATAGCCATCGCGTATCGCCTCTTACTCGATCACACGCCGCGCGAAGTTGATAATACGACTCACGACTGGGCTGGACTGTTCTCAGGTCTCCAGGTAATCGATATTGAGCACGCTTCCATGCACATGTGTTGTCCCCTATTACCTGAACAACCACCCCTATCCACCCTTGCCCAATTCAACGCCCGCGAAGAAAATGCTTTCCATGGCCTCAGCCAAATGATGCATCACGGACTCAGTCATTTTGTCGGAAGAGGTCTCCCCACTATATGGTCTTTTGTAAGCGCAAAAGAGCGTGAGGTCCTCTCGCCAATCCGGACACCTTTCACCGATGAAGATGCACGGGTTATCCGCCTTTGGGCCCGGAAATTGGACGACTGGCTAGTTCGATATAATGCTGCATCTCGTGAGATCTCTTAGTGGCCCGGTTCAAGGGAGAGTATGCTGACGCGAATGTCACTTCCAGAGCCATCCCCTTCTGATCGCCAGGGCATACTCATCCTCCTACAATACCATCTACACAAACTATACGTCCTATCCATATATCATCCGGCCAGAGGATTCGATCTAGGTTCTACGGATATCGCACCAGCCGAAAGACACGAACTACTAGTCTCAGCCCGTGCAGTTCTGCGGCTTCGTTTAGACGACGCTAGTATATGGTCCAACTGGGATCTGATAGTAAGTTGTCTACTGAACCACCATACTCTAATACCCACCACAGCTGACTTCCTTAGATGGTAACATTCGCAGCCATGCTACTACTCCGAGGGATCGAAGACGGCGTACTACACCAAGACGGTAAGAGTGATACTCGACTCATCTCATCGTGAACCACATCCATTGCTGACCTACGTCTGTATAGACCTTCAGCTAATTGAAAAGCATATCGACAGCCTGAAAAGGAACCATTCATCCGTGCCAAGCATCCATAGCATACTGGCTGATCGACTCGAGTCGGGCCTACAGAGCATGCATACACCGCCTGAGATGGGACCCGATTTTGCATTCCCCGCTCCGGAAGAGGATTATTCCTGGGCGATCTTTGATCAGGAGATTTTGTCTCTGGCGAACCCGCCGTGGCTGTATGAGAGTATTTCTTCCCTTGGGGAGATGCCAAGAGCAGATGAGAATCAGGGTGGGTTGTCGGCGCGATTGGAGTATACTGCTTTGGGGCAGGGGGGTGCGGATGCTCTGGGTGGGGGTGATATCGGATATAATTGATGCTGTGCTGTTAGGTGGCATAGCTAAATAGAAGTACCGGGCGAGGAGTTTACTAGTGTGGTAGTGAGACGAAGACGTAAGAATTGTCACATCTTCCAGATACGGAATATATTCAAGTTTCGTGAATCATCATGTTAATGTACAGTTCAGAGGTCGCCATAAGAAGCATAAGACGGCTGCGTCCTCATATATGAGAGAGATCGCTGAAGGAAATGGGGATTTAGATGGTTAGGTTTGGCCTGCAAACCTGGATTAGCGATTAGCCGTGCTTCCTCCACGCATAGCAACCTGGCGCCCTTTGATCAATCAATAGAGGCATCATCCCTTGAAGCATCTGCTGTATCTTCCTGATCAGATAGATTCGAGGCATTGCTTTGGTCGTGGAAATGACCCGGATGCGATGCAGGACTAGCATGAAATTCCGGAGTAGATGGAAATGGGGGGAATGGTTCGGTTTGTGAGTCGTTTCCGGGGGAGCCCGGATTCAGCGAGTGCTGAGTTTGTACATCCTGACTTTGATGAGGAAGTGTGTGTTCTACAGTTGAGTCTAAAGGAATATTGGCGGGCGCTTGATGAGCGGCGTCCGACACAGGTGTGCGAGGTTGTGGAGATGGTGAACTTTGTGAAGCCTACATGGTTGTTTTGTCAGCCCATCTTTCATTATTCTGGCATGAGACCAATCATTATATGAGCTACCTACCTCGTCTTTTGCTTGGTGTAGGCCCCGTGTTGAAGCCAGCTGCTGTGCAGCAAGCCGTCTTCGCGCAATTTCTGATTCTTCTTCAAGCGCTGCTTGCTCTTCTTCTTTTTTAAGATCGGCTAATGTAGGGGTGCTGGCTTGGCGAGTGACCTCTACATACGACCCCTCCGGAGACCGCAGACGGCTGCTCCTCTTTTTCTTCTTCTTTCTCTCCTCCTTGGAAGAGGCGGTTGTTCTTAAACTAAAGGTCCCAGACACCGACCTCATACTTGCGGGCTTATCCCCTATTAGATCAATTGAATCGAGTCCAGTCCCGCGACGACTGGCCAGAGCTAGAGCAAACTCATCATCTAGTGGCACTGCGTCTTCTTCCTCGTCGCTGGGGATCAAGTCACCCCGCGAGCTCAAGGAATTGGCCGTGTCACGCGATGATTGTGTTGAACTTCGATATCTCCCATTCAATCTTGAGGTGGCTGGGCCTTCACTTTCCTCTGTTTCTTCTATGAGAGGCTCATCTTCAAGTTCATGCCGTCGCAATCCCACGGGATGTTCTTGAAGATCTGCCGCGGACGGGCGATATTTCAGCCCTCGAGCGCCAAATCTCCATGGGAAGCGCTCTAGGAACCCCAGGAAAGAGGAACTCGGGATAACAGTCGGGTCATTACGGTCGTCAGAAATTATAGCAGTGCTCTTTCGCCTTGTGCGCCGAGCACCATAGCTCATTTTCCGCTGCCTTCGAGGCTGTTCGGAACTCCCCCGAGCCAAGCCGCTTCCAGCCAGTAAACGATCCAGTTCGTCAGTACCCCATCCTAGCAGACCGTCGTTTGGATCCTCATTATCCCAGTCATCGTAGAAGTCGAAATTAGCCTCTGCGCGGCCGCGTCGGCGGCGTCGAAGCTGGTCTTCGCGGCTAGGGAGACAAGGCGCAGTGCATGAGTAAATACAGGTCCCAATCGCTGCAAAACATGGTACCACGTAATTATGGGAAAAAGTATATAAGCCCTCCTGGGCGCTCTCGTTTGCAGACTCGAGGTTATGATGGATTTGGTTGATTGTCTGGCGGACCCGAGGGTCTCTCGATCGCATCATGCCGGCTGACGGTAGGGATGCGACGTTGGCCCAGAGCCACGCCGCGGCCGCAGGAGCGATGGGTTCACTTTAGAGTGAAATCAAGTATCCCCATGCGATAGCTGTGCTTAGAATGGGGATCTCGGAGTGAATCGTAAGATATATTCCTGCAGAAAAGGGAGTCGGTATACGATAACAGCAGCATTGGAGAGGCGGAGATAATAACGAGGGGAGATTCCCCGAGAGGGAGCCTGAGGAAGCAACATTCCTCTTGGATGGTCGATGTCATCGGCCCGCCCTTAGTCAGCCCGCACGTGCCCCGTGCCAGAATTAGCTGTTTTCAAGTAGTATTGTCCATACACTGCTTCTTCTGCCAATCGCATGGTCTAGTATACTAAGCTCACTTCTGGCGCCCCGTTATCGCCTAGTAATTGCTCATCTTTAGCATGGTTTACTATATTCGTTTCCTCAAGACCCCGAGGTTTCAGAAACAGAGACCCGGGTCTATATCCGTCTCCGCTCTAATTTGCATCACTACAGACCTGGGAGACGCATTTCTTGCACAAGATGTGAATTTGCTTGTAACACTGAGTCTCAATGACTCTGGTAAAATTCTGTATCAGGAACCATTGAGCTGGAAGGCTGGAAGGCGCGAGCTTCCAATAATGCTCGGGCCCTTTTCTGCCAATATTTCCCAGCAGACAATCGTCCTAGGCGTGACGTCCACAAGTCCGCAGAAGCGGTCTCCCTCGCCAGATCGCTTGCTGGGCAATTCTAGTCTTCCTCTAGTCATGTCAGCCTGGAGCGCACCTTTTGGCGGGTCGCCATCCTCGGTAGCAGAGAAGCTTGTTGAGAGACGCTTTGGACCCGAGGATCGCCTAGGCTTGAGGATCTGGGAAGAGACTGGGAACAGCATAGCTCGGCATATCTGGTGAGGCTTTATCATCTCAAATGAGGCTTACTTTTTTCTTGTACGATGCTTATATGTTATCAGGGATGCGGCGGTGGCTTCGGTCGTATACCTTCAGCAGATAGTGACTGGAGACCCTGCAGTCTCTGTGCCATTGTTGGAGGAACTTCTTCGAGGCGAGCGCAACTCGCCTCTCCATGTTCTCGAACTAGGATCAGGATGTGGCGTTGTAGGGATTGCTCTTGCCGAGCTTCTCCCTCAATGTTCCGTAGTACTCACTGATCTGCCCGAGGTGGAGGACATTGTTACACAGAACATAGCTGTTGCGAAACCGGCCGATTCCTCTGTGCTCGAGTTCAGCACCCTTGACTGGGATGAGGAACTTCCGGGTGACTTGTGCGGTGGTTCGATAGATCTGGTTCTCGTTTCAGACTGTACCTATAATGCAGACAGCTTGCCTGCGCTGGTTTCAGTACTAAGCCGGTTAGTGCAAATGTCGCCTGAGGCTGTCATTTTGGTGGCATTGAAGAGACGTCATGAAAGCGAGTCTATTTTCTTCGACCTGATGCAGTCTGCTGGGCTCCACAATTTGCACCTCGATCGGAAGCAGCTCCCATCGCAACATGGTCAATTCGACGATATTGAATTGCGTTGTTACGGCAGAGAAAGGAGTGTGTCATCAAGTCAATAGCCAGGTGGGATGGGTGGCTTGACATTCAGCCAAAATACATAGGTATTGAACAGCCAGTGGCGGTACTATTATCCCCATAGTCAGAGTTGGGATTTGCTGCAAAGGCAACAGTTCACAGCTGCATGGCTCCTTCCGGGACTGGCAGCGCTAACTAAGCGCAGAGCTTCGTTCATCATGCCCTTCCATAACCCCGGCTTCTCGGGGGTTTGTCTCTTCGATTGTACTGTTCTTGTGCAGAGAGCTAAGGTACCATGGTTGGTCGGGTAGGGCTGCAGCTCTTGCACCTGCCACCTGATGGCCTAGCAATACAACATTAAGTGGGATCTAGCTCTCCACATGCAGGGGTGTTGAAAATTCAAGGCCCAGACTCTCAGGCTATTTTGGAGCTATATCTTCAGAAGCTGGCTGCAACAATCATAGCCTAGGATCCGTGATCATATGAGAATGGAGCAACCCGCTATACCCATAAATCACCGTTCAGCGGCATCCAATAGCCAGTTTCAGTCCGGGGATAACCCAAACCATAAATCCATGTACATACCATCTCTACAACATCAAATCAACCAAACCAGCCCACTCTCTTGTTCACATACGTCCTGGCCCTCCTCATCGCCTCCGCCTCCTCCTCAAATCCCAACACATTCCCTGCCCCAATAATATCATGCGGTGCATCCTTCACCTCACAAAGCTCAATATCATTTCCCAACGCCCTCATCTCCTCCACAAACGCCACCTGATCTTCAAAGAAAACCTCCTCCGTCCCCGCCTGCAGGAAAATCGGCATTTCCAAAGTCCTAAACCCATTCCCAAGGGGACTCAGAAAACGATGTCCCCTCTTCCAACCCATAGGCGTTACCCGCCTGATACCCCACTCCAGCAAATCCCCAGAAAGATAATCAACCCATCGACGCGGATACCGATCAACCTTCCGCGTCCCATTCTCTGTTAAATCCAACCACGGACTCCATAACAACGCAGCCGCAGGCAATGGTAATGCCTTCGTCCCTTTTTCCTTCTCCTCGACCAAATATCTTATCATGGAGAGGACAAGATTCCCGCCCGCCGAATCACCGGACAGAATTATATTCTGAGGCTCTAAACCCAGCTTCTCGAGGACATACACATAAGCCGTGATCCCATCCTGCAGGGCAGCAGGAAACGAGGCATTTTCTTCCACGGAGAGGCGATACTGCAGCAGCATGACGTGAGATTCCATCACATCGCTGAGTATACTAGGGCTCCAGCCGTTTATGTTGAGGCGGACACCGCCGACAACGTACGCGCCGCCGTGGAAGTGAAGGATTACTCGAGCTGGTTTGGAAGAGGGGAGGGCAGGGTGCCATACTGCGCCGATAGGGACGGGACGGATGGATGGGACGCTGGTGAGGATGCTGCTGCGGGAGTAATGGAGTGCTAGTTGGTCGGACGTGGTGGTGTCTGGTGGGCTGATGATTATGAAGCGGTCGCCTTCACGGCCTGGGATAAGGGTTTTGGGGGCGCGGTATTCTATTGCTGTTAGGTAGTTCAACCCTAGGTAGTAGAGCCTTACGCCGATGACTTGGCGGTAGGTCCATGCTTCATGGGGCCGCGTGAAGCGGGGGAGGTAGTAGATGAGGGTGCCGAGAATACGGATGAGAAGAGTGGTGAGGGCGAAGGTGGTGTAGAGGTTTGCTCGGAATGATGGCATAGTTGGGGATAATGGGTAACTCGAGCTGAAAAAAAGCCAGAAGCTTCTTGTTGCGTTTATCTATTCTTTTGGTACTTGCTACGCTACTGAAGTGAGTAATTGCAAGAAAGATCGAGCCGAACAGAATAATACACATGATCAAGGAGATCAGAGCACTAGCTCTCACGCCGATTTCGACTACTACCGGTATGCAGCAGGAAAGCGCCTTGCTTATATTGCAGGAATCCCCGCATCTAATCGGCCAATACGGAGTAACAACATTATTTTCGAGCTACTACATTTTTTCACCTTGACAGGAAGGGCGATGGGCGATCAAATAGGCGCTGATAAAGTATGACTCAGAAAAATCAACGAAGGACCTTGTCTCCTATTATCGGGCATCCCGGATGAACCTCCTCAGCCTCTGGCTTCCCAAAGAACCGCGCCGCTGCAGGCCTGAATGATGATGTATTGCACCCAACTCTGTCGGTCCACCAAGGTAACCAGATGAAGGGGACAATTGATTCTCGGTGTTTCCCAGAGCAGGTCTTTTAGATTCGCTCCAGAGCTTCCGGATTGACATACGGTTGCCTAAGCGCTGGAGTCGACGACTTCCTCGGTCGGTCAGATTGGAAAGCACATTCTCCAGTGAAGAGTCTGCTGGGACAGAATCTGGTTCGCGACGTTCGATAGGGACGCGGTTAAAAGTATCGTAGACCACCTCTGGAAATGCGATGTGGCGTCTGTTTCCGCGGGAGATCTGCTTGCCATCGCTGAGGCTAGAAGTCCGTGGAGGAGGCATAACCGGGAGCCCATTTCCAGGAAACCTAGGCTCGTCTGACTTGTCATGAGCATAATTGATGCATCTCTGATTGAATGCGCTAAGATTTGCGGCTAGCGTCACTGCACAGAGTGGCAAGAACGCTAGTCGCATAGGCTCAGTTGATATTGTCTCACCGGAGACCGTCTCCGGCTGAGACGGCGAAACACTGGCACAGAGAGCCCATAAGTCGGTATACAGACGGCAGACAACAAATATATGCCCGCTAACCAGATCGAACTCATCAGAGCGCGGTTTATCATGATCGGACAAGGTGTATGCAGGATCAACGCAAATCACAAGTGATCCTTCGTGGATGGGCTGCTTCTCATCTAACCCTAAACGTATGTCCTTGTATGCTTGCAATCGTGCAGGACCGCCTTTCCCTTTGTGACAGACGGAGCTCTGCAATAGCACCCGGCTCGGATAAGGTTTCACGGAGGTTCGCCAATCTGACAGTGTGTATTTCCTCACGGTACCCAATTGTTGCCAAGTCTGTGGCCTGTCACGAGCGGGCCAGTCATGCTTGATACAATTAGCCTATACCTCACGGTCTACTTGGTAGCTACCAGACACTCACAAGGATAATGGTCTCCTGATCAGACTGCGACTGGTTGGTTTCTGTGCCAGATACCCCATCTGCAAATGCAGCGGTAGCGTCACAGCCATCAGCAATGCAGGAATATGCATCTTCCGGCATCTCACTATCATCAGCTTCTTGATCACTGCACGTTTCCTTTGTACCCCAGCTGCTGGTGCTTCCAGAGAAATTCGAAGTTCTTGACTGCCTTGAAGGGCACCAGACGGGAGGCCGGTGATAGTATACGGCATGGCGGCGCTTTTCAGTCACTGAGTCATGGATATACTCTGCATCAGGCGCATTAAAGTCATAGGCGGATTCTTCTGAAATGTCATGATTTGAGAAGGGTACTAGAAAGGCGCTTCCTTCTTCTTTGAGTCGATCCCTGCTGAGAAGGGAGTCGACGCTAAGCATGTTGTACATAGCCATCTATCTTGTAAGTATGCAAGCAAGCACTATGTAGCCAGATACAGAGAGTCAATGCTACGAGCTGGATGATCTGCTGAAACATCCTAACTACAGGTGGCCGCATCGCGACTGCCCTCCAGGAGGAGATCTGTCAAGGAAGGCACGTATGGCCATATCTGAGCAAGACATGGCATCAGTGCCCCAGCTTCAAGCATATACAAAAGTGCGTCAAAGATCTTCTCCAACCGGGTATACTTAGTAGAGTGAGGGGAATCAGGGATTAGAAATCATCAGATGAACATCCGAACACCTCGGCTCGCGATGCTGACTCATCCAGAACAGGGGTCTACGGCCTTAACTAGACAAACTAGACACTCTGCGTGATACCTTCATCTTTAGTTTTTGGATCACATCACATTTAGCTTTCTTTCATCATCTACATCATTGTTTCGGAACTATGGCTGTGCCGCGTATAAATGTCTACTTGGACGTAGTCAGTCCATTCGGCTATATCGCCTTCAGTGTTCTAAAGGTGCGCATATCCATCTACTTACTATAGCTCAAATCACCATCGCAATATTCTAACGTCTAGAAGAACTCTCCCGTTTTTGCCAAATGCAACATCACATATATTCCTATTTTCCTGGGTGGTATCATGCAGGCATGCGGGAATACTGCTCCTATGAAGATCAAGAGTGCGTATCCCTTCACAACAGAAACATGTCCATAACAACTTCTAATCAATGTATATAGATAAGGATAAATGGAGTGAAAAAGAGCGTTACCGCTGGTCTCGCTATTTCAACGTCCCAATTGTCCAGACAGTTCCCGAAGGCTTCCCGCCACGGACGCTGAGCACCCAGCGTGCACTCTGTGCAATTTCCCAGAAACACCCGGACAAGCTTGTGCCAGCCTTCGAGGCGCTCTATCACTTGTTCTGGGTAGAGGGTAATGCGAACATTGCGCAGCCTGAATGCTTCGGCCCGGTTCTTGAAGGGGTACTCGGAAAGGACGTGGCACAGTCGGTGTTGACCGATGTATGCGACCTGTATTGCATAGCCTTATGTTGGGTGTGTTTGCTAACTCGGTATTTAGATGGAACATGGAGACATCAAGGCTGCCTTGATAGCCAACACTGATCGAGCGTTCAAATCAGGCGCATTTGGCATCCCCTGGTTTGAGTGCACCAATGACAAGGGCGAAACCGACACATTCTGGGGAGTGGATCATCTAGGACAGGTTGCGGAATTCCTGGGACTGGATATCAAGTCGGACAAGGGGTTTAAAGCTTGTTTGTGAGCGTAAGACTACTGCTTTGACAGCTACAGAGTTCACTTTGATCAGAAGCAAGCTTCATGTATGCATGAATGTCCCAACATCACATATTATTTTAACCATCCGACCCGAATCTAGCACTCCCCAGTTATACCTTCTTCCCCCTCCCCATATTATTCATACTCATATGCCTCTCCTGCAAAAACTGAATAATCTTCTCCCTCTCCAAATTCTCAATACACCGAATCTCATCCGCATCTGCCGGCTCAACGACACCATCTACACCCAGCCAAGATATTCAATCAGCATAACAGTAACCAAACATATACATAAATAAAATAAAACACGGAGCACATACCCTCCCCATTCCCATTATCCTCCCCATCACCACCACCACCCCCACCCATCAACGACCTTACATGCTCCCACGTACTATTCAAGAAATCCCCCGGCGCCGGCGCCGACGCCACCCCATCAAGCATATTCTTCATCTCCTTGACACCCGATTGCGCCATATCATTAAGTGAGTTCTGGGGGGTCATCATTGAGTTCCCATTCGAGCTGTCGGTCGTGGACGCGGGCTCTTTGTAGCCCATTTCTTGGGCGGTTTCGCGGGCGGTGTCGTCGATGGTTTTCATTGTGATGATACTATGAGTATATATATTATAAGGTAGAGAAAGGAGATGTCCTATAAAGAAAATAAATATATGGAAAGAGAGATTTTATGTTTAGTAAAAGTGGTATTATCTTGCTGGAATGAATGATTGATTGGAGGGTTTAGTTAAGTAGTTTATCTTATGTGGCCGATGACATCAAGTTAGTTCGGGTGGATCATGATATCATCGTTGTCAGCCTTGTGGATCCTCGGGGCTTTCGGGTGTGGCAGGTTGGTGCTTGCGGGCGGCCTTGGTTGGGGGGAACTCGGGGAGGGTACTACTAATCTAGGGGCAGTAGGAATGGTTCAGCCTTATAGGGTGGTTGGAGTTAATGATAGCGTGTTTCGAAGGATGGGCGTCTTTTTCTTGTTTAGTGGCGCGATAATAGTAGGGCCGTGTGGTAGGCTAAGAGTGTGTAATTATTACAGCTACTGTGTTTTATACTTTTGACTGCGATGAGATCAACGCATCGACTTTCTAAATATATTCCTTGGTAAATGACTTAGCTTCATCTTAATGATGGAGATAGAGCCTCAGATTTCCACTGAAAACAAAACTTATATAATAACTAAATAATAGTGTCACTAATTGAATGAGAATAACCACTGGTTTATATGTTGAAGCTTTTTCACGGAAACTAAATCTTCATAATACCGTTAAGACGGCAAATACACACAATAACAGAAGATCCTTCAATATCCATCCATCATAAAAGGAGTCCGAAGTAGTTCTTTTGCAGATAAACGTTCGCAAGGGTCTATTTGCAACATAAGTACAAGGAACGAGGCGAGGCTCTCCGCATTCTCAGCACCAAAGTTCTCGGGTAATCGTTCGCGTAGGTAATCTGCAAAGTCCGCGTCCTGGTTGTTCAAACTGAGTCGTTTCTCAATAAGAGTACAATGGTCATTGTCTATCTCCTCTCGTGTGATGCCGAACGTTTCCAAAGGGAACAGCGGCTCATTCGTTGCTAGTTCGGATATCTTTACTGATATCAGAAGGAACGTATATTTCAAGAAAGGGATTGGCGTTGACATACCAAACATCCCAATGCCCAGATATCCAGCGTAGTATCAATTGAAGTATCCCGGGTATGTCGTATCAGCTCAGGTGCGCGCAAGCTCAAAGGTGTCACTGGTTTTTCATCACAGTGTTGAACATATTGAGCTAATGTAAGCCTCAGTGAAGCTGTCCAGACAAGATTCGATACAGACATGCGTATCTTACCTCCACCCAGATCCTCAATCTTGACCTCCAATGTTGAGAAATCTGCATCACTCAACTGACCCCTTCGCCTTTGGCTAGGTATCAAATATTTAGGAGCGCTGTCATCTACAGTAACTCCTTCCAACCACTTAACGGGACTGAACTCAGGAGTTTGTAATAACGCCTCCATGTCTGTACCCCCAGCCACTGAGAACAGGATATTTGCCGGTTGAGGATCTGTATTAAGCCCATTTAGAAATCTGCATACATAACCTGATATATTGGTATACCACAGTGTACAATACCTGACTGATGTAGAAAGTCAAGTCCCAGCAAAAGCTGACGAGAAACAGCCCGTATATAGCCGACTTCACGCGGACTTCCACTGATTGTCATTGCTGCCCCGTCAGATATCATCGCAGGGAAAACAAGACACAAGTGAGTTCCGTTCGGTCCTTTGGTGTAAAAATGATCGAGTAGTTCAACTATTTGTTTCTGTCCAGGATGATCTATATTGGAATCTGAGAGTGCAAAGAGGATTGAAAGCTCCTTGTTGTTGTCTTGGGATGCTTCAGCTTTTAGAATTTTCAGTACAACTTGCTGTGCGTTCCTGCTCAAGATGTTATCAACGGCTTTCTAAATCTAGTGTCAGCAACTGTGCTTTGCAGTAAAGAAGTGCTCACTTTAGTTGGTCCTTTGCAAGCCATACCGTCGAGTATTGGCCATAAGCTAGCTTCCCTATGACTTTGTATCTTTGATGGAACACATCGTGGAGATGCACGGGGTGGTATCCTCCTCGACGATATTCTTCAACAGGCTCTACTACATCGTGAATCCTTTCGAAGCGGCGCATAGTATTTTATGTCAAAAAGTGGTGAAACTCTTCTGGGAAACGTCCAGGATGAACATGGAGTGTTTGTCGAGTCATGTGATGTAGTTTTTAGGTTATACCATTAGCCTCATAATATATTGAAGGAGTGTATATGTTGTCATGGACATAAAAGCAATGAAGATAGTAGATCTACAACGAGACTCCCACGCGGATGTCTGAGGCATCTACAAAACCCCACGCCAGATCTTATATATTACCCGATTCGTCCTAGCGTGCCCCTCCACCCCCCTCCGAATCTTTACTCCGGCTTCAACTTCAACATCCAATCCCACTACCTTTACATCATTCTTTCCGTCTTTCTTTTCCCTTACATATTACTTATAGACTTAGACTTAGACTTACCCTCCCTACCACCACATTCATACATACCGAAACCTAAAACAAAATGCCCCCCATCCCCATAACAATCCTAACCGGCTTCCTGGGCAGCGGCAAAACGACCCTCCTTCTAAACCTCATCCCGCAACTCCCCCCAACCTACCGCCTCGCACTCCTCAAAAACGAATTCGGCGATGTAGCAATCGACTCCCAGCTCGCATCCACCTCCTCAATCAGCGGCGTTCGCGAACTCCTCAACGGCTGCATCTGCTGCAACCTCGTCGGTCAGCTCAGCGACGCGCTCTTCCAACTCCTCGACGAAGTGAAGCCCGACCGCATCGTGATCGAGACATCTGGGTCCGCGTTCCCCGCGACCCTAGCAATGGAAGTCAATCGGCTTGCGCGCGAACACCCGGGCACATTCAGCTTGGATGGAGTGATTAGCGTGATTGATGTGGAGAATTGGGAGGGGTATGAGGATACGAGCTATACGGCGAAACTGCAGGCGCGGTATACGGATCTGATTGTGTTTAATAAGTGGGAGGCGGCGGGGGAGATGAAGTTTGAGATTTGTTTGGATCGGGTGGGTGATTTGGAGGTTGAGACGCCGTGGGTGAAGAGTGAGAAGGGACGGGTGGATAAGGATGTGTTGTTGGGGATTGATGGGGCGTTGTTTGGGGAGGAGGGGGTTGATGGGGTGGATGGGCATGGACATAGCCATGGAGATGAGAAGGGGCATAAGCATGAGCATGGACATCAGTCCGAGGTGGAGGTGCTGTCGGTTACGTTGAAGGCGAAGGAGGATGGGGCTGTGGTGGATACCAAGGCATTGGTGGAGAAGTTGTTGCGCGCGGCGAACAAGGAAGAGGTGTATCGGATCAAGGGCGTCATGCGGTGCTCGACTGCTGCGCCGCCGGCTGCGTCGGAGGAAGAGGAAGAGCAGCAGAAGGAGGGCCAATCGGTGGCTGTGGATGCCGATGGCCCGGCAGCAAGACACTATATCCTGAACTGGGCCTTTGGGCGCTGGACGTTCACGCCGTCTGATGTGGTGGCCGAGACGGCCGATCCTGCGGTGGCGGCTAGAATTACCTTCATCCTGGCCCGCTATGAGTCGGGCAAGTGGAAGAAGAGGCTGGAGGCGGGTGGCCTGGTCCAGGTCGCGGAGGGAAGTACTAGTGAGGGGGCGGAGTTGGTGGTTGAGAGACTGGTCTAGATGGGTATGTTTTAGACATGTTGTTTCTGCCGATTCTAGAATTGGGCATGATGCAGGAGCTGGCTCTGCATCGGATGACCTGTGGATTGCGGGGTTGGGCTATGTATACATGAAACTATGATGACAATGTGGGGTGATAGAGGTCAGGATAGACTAGAGGTAGACATGACTCTGTCTGCAATGAACATAGGTGAAACCCATTAAATGGACTAGGCATAGATGGCCATATATAGACACTTCAGGAATCTGCACACTGTATTTCGACCCGAAATCTACTCTAAAAGCACACGAACACATTTATTAACAAAGCAAGTCAACGAGCGACCTACTAAGTAGAGAAACATATAGGTACCAAACACAGAAGCCAAAAAAAATATCAAACAATAGTAGATCTAGTACTCGAGGAGCGCAGAAGCCCCGGCTTCGCTGGAGATGTAAATCACCTCGTGGTTGTCCGAAAAGCCGTTGAAGCGGGTCGCGCTACACTTGGTGTAGGCTCCCATCTCCTCGAAGTAAAGCCAATCTCCAACTTCCAGCAGAGCTGGCAGCTCAATGCGCTTGGAGATAACGTCAATGCCGTCACAGGTCGGCCCCCAGATGGAGTACGTGACACCCCCCGAAGTCGCAGCATAAGGGGAGTTCGCGGCCGATGCGCAGGTCAGGACCTGAGCCACGGGGTGCTGGTGGTCAAAAATGATGTTGGAAAAATTTCCATACACCCCGTCGTTGAGATACAGCATATAGGCGTCGTTGGTCGGGTCCTCCGGGTCGCGCACCTCACGGCGAGCGATGATGTTGGCTGCCAGAGTGAACGCATTGGCAACGTAGTAGCGACCCGGTTCGGCAATGACCCGGATGCTGGGCGGAAAGTAGGTGTCCAACGCCTCGCTCAGAACGCCGGCGAATTTTTCGAACGTGTCCTGGGAGAAACCTCCGCCGACATCCAAAGTGTGCAGTTCATGGCCAATCTCTGCGGCTTGGTCGAACACGAGGCGCGCGTCCTGCACGGCCTTCAGGAAAGCCTTAGGATCCTCAGCGCCCGATCCGACGTGAAAGCTCACGCCGACAACCTTGAGCTCGAGCTGGTACGCCAATTCGAGGAGCTGGCGAGCAACGTCCAGGGAAGCTCCGAATTTCATGCTGAATTGGCACAAACTGTTCGAATCATCCGTAAGGATGCGCAGATAAAGCTCAGCGTCCGGGTAGTTGGCCTTAATCTTGTACAGCTCATCGGCGTTATCGAAAGTCATCTGCTTGACGCCCACCTGGGCCGCGTAGCGCAGATAGGACTTGGTTTTGCAGGGCTGCGCGTAGATGATGCGGCTCGGGTCGATGCCGGTGTCAAGGGCCATGTCGATCTCTGCCTTGGACGCACAATCAAAACCGTTTCCGAGTTTAGCCATGAGGCGAAGGATCTCCGGGTCCGGGTTGCACTTGACCGCTATTGACTCAATGTTAGCCGCTGTCACAAAATCCTCAATTGAGCATCCAGTCCTTACCGTAGAAAGGCCGAACACGGCTCAAGTTCATTTTCCAGCGCAGATGCTGGCGGTAGATCTCCCCCATATCTGCCACGTAAAACGCGTCCTCCTCACCCGGCGCGCAGCTGTCCACATTGACCTCGGCTGCGCGCTTCTTCAGGATGTCCAAGACTAGTTCCTTGGCAGCCAACCTGGATTGCGATATGTCGTCCCCTCCATGATTGCTGAATTGACCATGATCCCAATTGAGATTATGGTCTTGTTTCTCCTGGTAGTATTTAGGAGTGCATACTTCAGCAGGTACACAAGCAGTCGGTGCCATAACCATGCGCGCTGCGACGGAGCACGGAATAGGTCTTTGAAAAAAAGTAAAGTAATAAAAAAAAGTTGAGTGTCTTTAACGCGACTGCGTGTTAGGGAGGGCGAAAAGATTCGCAACCGAAGTTGACTGGACCAAGCCTCCTAGACCCTTCCTCCTTGAGAGGAAGAACCTTCAGAGAAGTCCTATGCGGCAGCTCAAGAAAAGAGGGGATGAGCGGCGTGGGCGTCAGGAGGTTAAAAGGAGGAGCACCGAACGGAAACACGGGAGTCGACACCAGCAGGAGGGGGAATGTTGTTAAGAGTGTCGCGGGGACGTCTCGGAGATACAATGTGACGAAGAACGAAACGCGAGGCTACGAGAGCCGTGGTGAGCTTGGAGCCTTTGGAACTGGTGGATTCCAAAGGCCTAGAAAATGCGCCGTGGAAAGATTGAGTGAAAGATTGGGAGAGGGAAAAAAAAAAACAAGGTTTTTTCCCAATAAGAAGAAATCTGACGCGCCCAGCCACTGATCAGCAAGCTTGTATGACAGCTCCAACGAGAATTGAAAGGGGTTGCGAGATTTAATTTCTGGGTCCGGGGGGAGGGGAGGGGGAAGGGCAGGAGGTGAGAGGTGCGTGCAGAGTTTTAACGACTTGGACGCGGAGGTTAGGGCAAAGGGCACGGCGTCAGGCAGACACCCGGGGGGGAGGGAACGATCTCGATGAGTCGATAATACGAGGAAGGCCGAGCGCTGCAGGACACCCAGCAAGGAACGAGAGAATGGATGAAGACTTACCGCAATGGCTCGATGTGCACGGGGGAACGCAACAAAGGGACGATGCAGACGAAGTCGAAGAGAGAAAAAGCAGCGACAGAATGGAGGAATGAGAGAGTGGTTCTCGTGGGGGGGGAGATTACGGCATCTCCCGAATCACCGTGCCCCTCTCTCGTCACCGCTCGGTATGGTCATGTATAGTATGTATAGTATGTATCTTACCTCCGTCTCTACTTCGCTCTTCCATCATTATTTCCCTCACCTTCAACGTACCCCGGAGTGGATCTCTGCCCTTCACACAGTATGGTTACTTTTTCTCTCTTCCCGCCAGTAATGGTTGACGTGGTCTCAATCTTGCTGCCTGTCTCCTGTCCCATGGGAACCTGGCAGATCCCCTTGATCGTTGATTCGGCCTGATGCCCTCCCGATTTTCCCTCAACTTTCCAATAGATCAGTCCCTGAAGATCCGTCGTCTGAATCCTGGACCTACGGACAGTTTACTAGTGTACCAGACAATTTGAGTCACTTTTTCTCTCGAACCACATGCCTCTGCTTATCACCAGAGGACGGCTGCATCTCAGCACCTGCCCCTCGGGATGCGTCATCCGTACTATCTAGATCGATGAGTGCTACGCCGTACTCCCCGCGCGACTGGCAAGGAAGACAGATTAGTGGTCCCTCGGTTCTGAAGAAAGAGAACCGGGCAAGTCCTTCCCGCGAGCTAGAATTTGAACCGGCTATACCAGGTCGTACATGGGTAGTATAGGCCCGGAACAGACTGTTCCTGGTTTCGCCACTTAAGCCTGTTTCTTGGAAAGTGCGGCATGACGCGCTGCCGTCCGTCTTTCTGATGCCCGTCTTATTAGCCGCCTG